TTTCTAATGTACTCATAGTACTATTTGTTTGTTATACTAATGTTCATCCCTTAACCAGCTGGAAGAAATAAAAGGATGCTTTTAAAAGAAGCTCTATTGTATGGATTCACATTTTCAAAAAGAAGGGGGACTGCAGTGGAAAAATTATAGGTACCTAGATGATTGATGATAGATAGATAGATAGATAGATAGATAGATAGATAGATAGATAACATACATATGTCAAGACATAAGATAAAGTAATATTTTATCAGAATTTACTTCAGAAACAGATAAGCATTCATGTTAGGAGACTAAATGTTATCTGAGATGCCTTACTATTCCTAATTTACTTGTTATAGTTTTCCTAAATTTGTATTGTAATTCCTGCTGTGATATTATAAATAATTGCTAAGGGTGTAACTCAACAAATCACAAGCCTAGTGTGTGTGAGGTCCAGGGCTAGATCCCCAGCACTGAAAAGGAGGAGGGCTGTGATTCTACAGTGGTTAGTACCCTTCTTGTGAAAAGGAGGGAGAGAGGGAGAGAGGAAGAAGGCAGGAGGGAAGGGGGGGTGAGAGAGAGAGAAAAAGGAAAAGGAGAAGGAGAAAAAGGAGAAGAAAAAGAAAAGGAGGGAGAGGGGGAAGAAAGGAAGAAAAAGAAAGAGGGGAAATGAAGGAGGAAGGAAGGAAAACAATTATCAAGAATCAGTTTTTCTTGCATCAAAATGTCAAAAGCTGAGTATTATGATTTTTTTCTGACTTGAAATGCTCCTTGTAACCCCAAAAATTCTAGCAAAACCCCAACTAGGTGGAACTGAGTTTTTGACCAAATACTAAACATTATTTTTAATTTAATAACAACTTTCTTAAAATTTTTACTAAAGTAGTTAAGTATTTTAAGCCTTATTCTAAAACCTAGATTTCTAAAACTTTTAGTCTAGAAAATCAACATATTTTCTAAATAAAACTACATCCAAACTAAATTACACATGGAAATAATCCTGATTGCAATCAGTTGAATGCATATAGTATACCACCTTTAGAAAATTATAGAACCTTTCAGATTTAGAAATATTTTATAGGAAAAAATTCAGGTGCAAGTTATGATTCAGTCCAGTGAATATTTTTCAATCACTCTGTGAAGTGGAATACTTTTCAGAAATTCTTTATTGAAAAGAGGCCCATCACTGACATCACTTTTGGTAGGAGCAGTATAAGGTACCCGTTGATGTCGGCACCACTGGCTGTGTTTCTATTGATTGAACTTGGGGACATTACTGCCTCTGCTACTGACAGATACTATCTCTGGAAAATGTTGGTGCCTGGCTTTGTGCTATTTCCAAAGCCCTGACCAGAGAGTCCCAAAAGCAAAGTCCAGTCATCGCTTCATCATCGCCTCAGTATGATTCAGCATCTCTCCTGGCCCGAAGCTACCAACAATGAGTTGAGAGGATTTTTTCTCTTCACCTGCTTTGACAATTTGAGTCTCCAAGTATCTGCCTGATTACTAATTATTCAGGGATCAAAATTTTCCCCCCAAAATTGCCTGAAATTTATATGCCTGCCAATGGTCATATTTCTCACATGAACAACAACATAAGGCGGACAGTATTCCATACCCCTAATAAGATTTCTAAGCATACCGTCCATTCTTCATGTGGGCTAACTACCCCTTCTGCTCTTATGCAGAGGTCTTAGTGCTGTGTGTTAGGTAGCACACCTGTGATTTTTTGAAATTTTGGTTAAGTTTAAATTTTAACTTAAATTTTGAAATTATGTTTAAAATAATACATAAATGTTTGTTCCCTTTAAGAAATATGGTGTAAACAAGTGCAATATTAATCTTAGATGTATTTTCCCACTTAGTTAACAAGTAATTTTCTTTGGTTTGATTTCTTCAAACAGAAACCTTAGACAACTCTTCCTGCAGCTGCTTGGAGGTACCTGTTTTCACCAATGGGTACAGATACCTCTCCTAAATCCACATGAAAATTAAGCTTTAACCTGCTCTTCACAGATCTCCACAAGAGGAACTGAACTGAAGCTAACCATGCCTTTCCTTCCTCAGGCATCGCGGACTCTGTTTCTGCTGTTTTAGTGTGATGTGCGGGAGACATGAGGAGAAGGAAACTGGTGCGGCGTAAGGGCAGGATTTCACTCTGAGCATGACTCCCCTTCATGCTTCCACAACTGCACATGGCCGTCTCACGGAGCAGGTAGAGCGCTTCATCTAGGTGGCACAAGGTCCCCTCCTTGGAGTTGCGGACCCCAGAGCCCCTCAGCGGAGGCCTGAAAAGGATCTGCATGTTCCCTACTCTGGGAGGAAGTAGGGTGAGGAGCCCTGTAGATCCTTCAACTCGGAGAAGCCATTGCTGGCTGAGTTTGCTTTTCATTACTAACTCGGTACTTGCCTTAGGGCTGATCAAAGCGGTGGTCAGAGCTTGTTTTCCTCCGTGGGACTTGATCTGAGATGTAGATGACCCTACTCCTTGTGCCCAAGCGAGGCCCGCGGGCTGCCAAAGCAGCCTTCCCTGGAGCTCACGTCTGAGCTGCTCCTCGCACCTCATGGCTCTCACCCTCTGAACAGGTGAGGCCGGGCTCACTCGGGGGGATGTCGCCATAGACCCAGCCTGTGAGCGCAAGCGGCCCATGGTCAGAGGAAGAAAGAAACCAAGTGAAATGAAAGGATCACCGCGAACCTAATGTGATTGGCCACCGCATATAACACTGCTCATCAGACGAATTATTTTATGAAAATTTTTGCTGTCAACAGAAATCCAATAGAGGTGACATTCTAGACTCTTCTTTGTGTGTCACAGAGCGAAGTATTTTTCCACATTTACTTGCTGTCTCTTCCTCTTCGCTGCACCATTCCCAGAAGTGCCTGCTGGTTTGGTTTCCCTGACTAAAGAATCGCCCTTGTCACTCACTCACCATTTTCATTTTCTCGCCATGCTGGGCTCTGTTTTGCGACACCAGCATCACGCCTGCGTTCCTACCACAACTCCTTCCAATTGCTGGCCTAAGCTTAGCCAGGCTCATCAGTCCAAACGCGACACCCAAGCTCTCCGGCTTCTGTTTTCGGCCTCCACCGCCTGGCCAGGCCACAGCCCCTGCCGGTGCTCCCTTCTGCTTGGGTGCTGTGCTCAGGGCCTGTCGTCTAGCTCCCTGGGTCCAGATGCCGAGTGATTCCTCGGGCAGCGACGCAGATGCGCCCTGTGGACCTTCCCTCCTCAGTGGTGACTGGGACCTGGGCACGCCCAGAGAGGGTACAAGGCGGGTGGCGCGCATGCCCTGCAGCCCGCACGGGGGATGCTGTTCATGGGGGCTGTTTCAAGAAACCCAGCGCTGCATTCTTTGCATATATTTACCACTTATGATTCATCCACTGTGAACAATTTCTTGACACTAATCAAATCCACTGTTTTTATCAGAAAGCAAAATAAAAGTATATTTTATACTAAAAATGAAATAATAAAGCAGTGATTTTCTAATCAAATATAAGGACAACTGTTGTAGAGAAGTTAACATAAAGTTACGTTTTCCACTATATGTGGAAATATGTCTTCCCTAAAATACATGAGGGTTTCTCTCTCTCTCTTTTTGTTGTTTGCTTCTCTGCAGCACTGGGGGTTGAATCCACAGCACTGAACTAGGACATTTTTTATTTTTATTTTTAATTTGAGACAGGATCTCACTAAATTGTTAAATTGCCCAGGCTGGGCTCAAACTTGCAATCCTTCTGCCTCAGCCTTCCCAAGTGCTGGGATTATAGTATGTGGTACCACTTCCAGTTAGTGATTTTTTTTTCTAATGTTTAAGAGGTTAGCAAAAACAAAACTTTAGACACAGTAGCAACACTGGAAATAAATTCTAGAATTTCCATCTTTTCCTCTCACTTTTGGTCCAATTTAACCTTTTATTAGGAAAAAAAAAATTCAGGGCCAGGGAGATAGTTCAGTGGAATAAGTCTTTGCCTGAGAAGCAGAAGGTCCTGAGTTCAATCCCTGAGAGAGAGAGAGAGAGAGAGAGAGAGAGAGAGAGAGAGAGAGAAGAAAAATGAGAGAAATCAAACCTTTTCTTATACCAAGCAGAAGCAATCTCAAAATAATATGTATGGACTCAGGCTTAGAGATGCTCCAGGAAAACAATCCTGGCATTTTAGTTTGTAGACATTTTAATAACCAGGTGTACCAGAAAGGAACCAAGTCCTGTCTGTCTGAGTACGTGCTAGGTCGCTGACGTTGTCTATGCTGTAAAAATGCTTCTCTAGTATTCTTTCTTCAAATGCTAAAGAAGCCTTAAGGATTTCAAGATGGTTCATACCTCTGACACACCGTGGACTGCGAGGACATTTATAATAAAGCAGCTTGCTCGCACAGAGAACTCGTTCTGGAGTTCGCGGCTTACGTTTGGGCAGCGCAGTGCTAGCGGCTTTGGGTCGCGTGTGGCTTCCTCTCTCCAGCGCCGTGCACCAGTTTGCTGCTCCGCCTGACGCTAACCTCCTGACCGCAAGCCCTCCCTTACCACCCCGCTCACTCCACGCTTCACAGGGGCCGCACCAACAGCCAAACTGCCCGCCATCCCTACTGTGATCAGCAGCATCAGTAGGTAATCAGTCAATGAAATTACCTCAGTCAGGCCCAGCAGACTTGAGGGACGCTCACGCGGCCGCTTGCCTCCTCTGGCCACTCCTGTCCTTCCTGGGAAGCCTGGCTTTTGGACTCTCTCACCTGCACCGCCCAGAAGCTTCCTGTCCCCAAGCTTTTCTAAGGACGGTGCCTGTATGCGCAGGTGAGAATTTCCATGCCCATTTCAGTTTGTGGTCACAACTCAAAAGGAAAAGAGCACAAACAATTTTAAGAAAAAGTTACAGAACGTTATTTGCATGTGATTATCCCTGGCTCCAGGGATGGAAGGCGGCAGTGCTGCCCGCTCAAGCCCGGGCATGTAGCACTGGGCAGATGTCTTCACAGAGGTGCACATCAGGTGAAGTTGTGGCAAACGTCTGTTCAGGTGGCAGTTCTCGCGATCTCGGGTGACAGTTCTTGCTACCAGGCATATGTTCATGGACCACCCCCTTTCTATTGACTTGACTCTGTTTTTTCAGGGTTTGACACAAATGGCTTTGTTTCAATTTTGTCAGCTTTCACTACTAAGCAAGGTAGCATGGGCCGCCGTACAGGTTCCCACGTATAGCATCTGAATGATTCGAGTGGACGCTGTGATTCACCCACCGTATTTGCCAAGGATTTACAATTCTACCATATAGGACCATAGCATTCCTCAATTTCAAATGGCTCAGTTTCCCAGTGCCAGAGAAGACAAGGCCTTAAGGAGTGCTCATGCAGTGCCAACCACCGCCCCTGGCACGGGAGTGAGCCCTCATCTCCTAGTGCTTCCCCATCAGGAAAATCAACTTGGGCACGGTTTCACAATGATTCCAAAGACTGAATACTAAATTAAAAATTTATCAGTCAATCTTACTGTGATTAATTCATTTAATAATTATAATTTAAAGGATTAAAGGCGTAGCTCAGTGGTACCATACTTGTTTACCTTGTCTAGCATAAACAGTGTTCTGAGTTATATCCCAGTTAGCAAGAAAAAAGAAAAAAGCAAAGAAAAACAAAAGAATTACAAATCAAAGTGGTCATCAGCACTCACCAGAAGCAAGTGTCGGTGCCATTTAGCATGGGGATGTATTGTAAGTCATTATTATAAGTGATTTTGATATTTACAGTATGAATTATTGACATCTTTTGAACAGAACTCTTACAACTACATACATTAGTCACACCAAAAATACACATGTGAAGAACTAAATCAAATCTTTCCATCTATGGAAAGAATAGTATATCTTTTTTGATTTTTTATGCATTTAGTACAGGGTCTCACTATGCAGCGCAGACTCTTAGTGATCCTCCTGTCTCAGCCTCCACAGCGCTGGGATTACAGGCGTGCACCACCACACCCAGTCTTGGTGGCTGGCTCTCTATGGTGTGTGATACCAGGGATCGAACCCCGGTCCCTATGCTTGCCTAAACAGGTGCTTAGTTTGCTGAGCTATCTCACTGGCCCAAGAATAGTATATCTTGAGAAATAGCATTTATACCAAGATGTTTTGGTGGAAGAATATTTATTAACTCTCTTCATTAGTTTGGGAGAAAAACAAAAACTTCTAGGCACTTTTCTCCCCAGGTAGACAGAAAAAGAGATTACATAGGTGACTTTTCCACAGTAGAGAGTTAACAGTAGGAAAAAGGGAAGCAGCGTTCACCCCTAAGGTGGCCGACTTCAGGCCTACTCACTCAGCCTGTGTGGCTGGCGGTGGGCTCTGCAGTCCAGCGTAACCCCCAATGACAGCGTGTGCACATGCCCAGGCAGGCACACCCAGGGACACGAGCACACAGAGGAAGCTGAGCGAGCACCCACAGCCGCCCCTCAGCATCCTTGGAGATCACCCCCTACTCAGATCTGAAAACTCGCAGAGGCCCCAGCGCACGCAACCCTGCACGCCAAGTGAAATATCAAATACAATGCGAAAGTTATGTAAATAGTTGTTACACGGTTGTGCTCGGGGAGTAATGGCAAAAGAGCTCTGCACATTACACAGGCTTAGTACAGATAGAATTATTTTTATAATTTGCTTCGAGGACATCACGTTTGGGCAAGACTGGCCCAGTCCAGGACACTTTCAGCCCAACCTACTCTTCCCAGACCTCCTCCCCCCAGAATGTTCTCATATAGTTCCACCTAACATACATGACATAATTCTTGCATTCCATATAATCAATCATATAACGACCTGCTATCAGCTTGGTACTTCCTGCTTGCAAACTGTATTTGAGCAGAACTCAAAGCTGACTCTGGGCTGATGACTGGAAGTTGGTTCCCAATAGCACACTAGTGTTACATGAATGCTGCCTTCCAAAATCTC